ACCAGCGACAGGTTGACTACTGCGGGCCAGAACGAGAACAACCAGCAGCGGTGTACACTTACATGGCCCGCAGTAGTCAACCTCGCCCATACAGGAAGAGATACACTGCGTTAGAGGGCGGTTGGCTACTGCGGGCCATCGGGACAACAACCAACAGCGGTACACACTTACATGGCACACAGCAGTCAACCTCACCCAGCTGGAAAAACAGAAAAACATGTGGCACCAGCGACAGGTTGACTACTGCGGGCCAGAACGACAACAACCAGCAGCGGTGTACACTTACATGGCCCGCAGTAGTCAGTCTCGCGCAGACAGGCATACATACACTGGACAGACAGACAGGTTGGCTACTGCGGGCCAATGGGACAACAACCACCAATGGTACACATAGTAATGGCACGCAGTGTTCAACCTCTTGCAGCTTGGAAAACAACACTCGCACAATCGACACGTTCACCAGTCAGCGATGCAACACGACGCCGAACGTGACATGCGAGACCAGAATTGGCCTGCAAGGGGGACAACTTCATACTGTCGGACAGGTAGACATGTGCCGACAGAGGTCCATTCAGTGTTGCGGCCCACTAGCCAACCTCAAGTATGTAAAAACCTGACATAGGTACACACAGAGAGAGAGAGAGAGAGAGAGAGAGAGAGAGAGAGAGAAAGAGAGAGATCACGCTTCCCTGACGACCCGCGCTGCCACAATTTGACATCTTCTGTACAGAGTTTTCAAGCGCTCATGGATGTCAAGTCCTTTCCTGCAATATTCACATTTTTTTTCCGCTCCATGATGGTCCGCATTCAGTAACACCGGTCTCATTATCTCTTTGATATATGAAATTATATGGGAAAAACAGTCCGCGACCAGCGTGGCCATTTGTCGAGAGTTTGCGTCAACAATGAAATTTTCAAAAATTTGCGTCGTCATAAGCAGTACAGAAGATTCTGGTCCGGCCGAAGGTGCTTTGCTGGCAAGCACGCAGGGGAAGTTGTGACGCACGTGGTGAGATTTCAGTGCGGCAACATCACTGCACGCCAACAGGACGTGTGGCACAGGCGCATCCTTCCCAAGAGTGGCCCCATTTCCCGAACACACTCCGATTGGTCTGTCAGCTTCTTCTCTTCCCTTCTTCGTTTCACCTTCTCTCCATCCCATAACATCTCCTTCCATACATGTCACCGTCAGTTCTGCAGCCAACAACTTGCCTCGAGTGTGTTGCAGGGCATCCATTACGTCTTCGCAACTGCTCAGCAGAGACGCGATTTTTGCAGGAAGCTCGTCATTAACAGACCCGACACCCACTTCACTCAGACCGTATGTTTTCGTACAGTGGCGAATGCAGTCCTCGGCGAAGGCTAAGAGGTCAACGACGCTGTGTGCCGTCGTAGGTAGCGAACCTGTGTTGTAATCTTGGCTATTGTACGATGCCCATCCCTCCTTCAGCACACACTTTCCGCAGCTGGCAAGACACATGACATCCCCTCCGTCTGACTTCCCGTTTGTTGTCTTCGTGACGTGGGCGGAGAACCGCTTCAAGACTGCGGTGCGCCTTTCCCTTTCAATATCCAGCCATGCCTGAAACTCGTCGAACGTGGTGTTCTTCGTTTCAGCAATTGTCTGAAGTCTGGCTGACATGTCCTCCCTCAGACGAGTAACGTCTATATCTTTCATGTAGTCAAGCAACAACCAGAACACGGTGAACATCCTGTGCTCCGCAGTTTCTGTCATTTCGTCGAGGAGCGACTTGAGGCGGCGTAGTTCGTCTGACATCTCTCTAAGAAGTACTTTCTGCTTATGCATCTCCTCTGTTAGCCTGCCTATATGTTCTCGGTCGCTAACTACAGTCCGACCCCTGTTTCGATCCGTTTCAGGTGTCTTATGGTCCTTGCCGCGTGGGGGAAGGAACTCATCCATCCTTGCATGACACTCTCCGCCCAGCTTTCTTTTCTGTCCGGTCGTGGTGAACCTTGACATCTGGAAAGCATTGTATATACAGAGAAATACGTAGACACAGCAAGAGAGAGAGAGAGAGAGAGAGAGAGAGACAGAGAGAGAGAGACAGAGAGGGAGCCTCACTGCTTCCGTACAATGGCGTCAACGGGGACCTACCAAACACTCTCTATGTGTAAATGTAGTGAGGCAACACTAGTATTTACTACTCAACATCTGCGTCCCCCCCCGTACATGAGTCCATACATCACTGAACAACACGGCACAACTCCGACATGGCGGACCCTTATTTCGAAACGCAAGCGTCAGAACCAGGAATTAAGCAAGACATGAACGCCAGAACGCATGCAAGTAAACACATATAAAACGGCTGCGACAGAGACACAAAGAGAGAGCCTTATTCCGGACCCAGAGATAAAGACAATCGCCACGAACAAAGAAACTGTTGGATGGTCCGCCATTCTGATGTTGACCGAAGTTGGCTACTGCGGGCCAAAAATACACATATGCACATCGATGCGTGTGCCGGTGGCCCGCAGTAGTCAACCTCTCTCTCTCTCTTTCTCTCTCTCTCTCTCATTGCTATGAAAAAAGCGAAAAAAATGACAACGTTGCAAAGGGGAAAAACATAATTACAAAGACGCTCCCTCCTTCGTTTTCTCTCCCTATCTTTCTTTCTGTTTTTTTTTCCTTCTTTCCCTCATTCTTTCTTTCTTTCATCCTTCCTTTCTTTCTTTATTTCTCTCTTTTTTAACTTTTTCATTCTTTATTGCTTTCTTTCTTTCTTTCTTTCTTTCTTTCTTTCTTTTTTATTTTTTTCCAAAAAACCTTCCAAATCGGTGGGGAGTGTGCGGGAGAGGAAAAAAGAAAGAAAGAAAGAAAGAAGGAAAAAAAGAAAGAAAGAAAGAAGGAACGAAAGTAAGAAAGAAAGGAAGATCGAAAGAAGAGAGAAGAAGAA